GGTTTTTCTGCAGTCTATAAGCAACCGTTTGGGTAAGTTTGGAGCAATGCTTACGACATATTTCCAGATTCCTCCAACCATGCGCCAACTTGATTCCCTTGAAGGCACATTCCTTGGCCAACATGGCGATGGCATCGCAATTACAGCTCTCCGGATGCTCCCGATTGGCACAATTGCAGTAGTCCGCCATGCAGGTGCGGATCAAGGCGTCGTAGTTGAAGGGTTTGATGCAATCGCCGAGCTTCTCGTTGGCCAACAGACGCTCGCAGACGGAGACAGCCTTCTGGAGCTTCGTCTGCTCACAGGAGTCCATGCCGAACTCCATCTCGGCACTGTTCTCCACCTGGCACAGTTCACCGTGATCCTCGACGCGCCAGGCGTCAGCGAAAGCCTTAACAGTCGCTAGTTTTTTGCCCGTCCTGGAGGACAAGTCCGTGTTGGTGTCACCGTCCAGGGATCCGCAGAGACCACCAACTTTTCCCCACATCTGGGGACCGGCATGCACGGACACATACTGATGATGGTCCCAGTCCAGTTTGATGCCCACGGATTCCAGATCGATCTGCACATGCTGGGCCACGGGCATTACTTTCATGCCCATTACTTGCACAGGCATGGGCAATTTCTTGATGGGCGTGGACAGCTGAATGGTGCCATCTAAATGGGAGTGTTTTCCTCTTAACAAATTCAAATGATTCAAATAAATACTCTTACTCAGATTCTCGAAGGTGTAGAGTACGGATTGCCAAAGAACCTTGAGGGTGTGTGCACAACCATAGCCAGAGCCATAAGGACAAGCCTTCAAGATAATATCAAAAGTACCCGATACTTTGTCCGTAACCAGCGTGTGCGAGCAGGAAAGTGGTGCCCTATAGGAATAATGGGTTAACAATTCTAAATAAAATTGATTTAATCACTTTGCACTTACTTAAACACCAATCCATCGAAGGTCTTCATGTTGATGCCACCCCAAGTGGTGCAAAGAGCTGGTCGAGGGGTTTTGTCAATCACGATATCCAAATCGTTGCTCTGGTACAGGGAATAGCTGCTCAAGGTGACAACAGTTTCCTCCGATGACCACCATTCCTATTTTATTAATTTGATTAATGTCGAGGCCTTGTATAAAAATATAATTTTAACGTACACTTCTTCTTTCTATATCACGATACTTGGCCAGCAAGGCCAATAGCTTTTCGCGTTCGGTTCGGATCTCGTAGCCCAGTTCCGCACTCATTCCGCGCTGATAGCTTCCCCCTGCATGATGCATTTCACCATGTGTGGACGATGTGGAGCGAATGGTGTAACCAGGAGCTGCAGAAATGTGGTTTTGAGAATAAAATAAGTTAAAGGGTGGTCTGCTTATCTTTTTTTTAATAAAAAGCATGGTGTTTTATTTGAAAACACTAAGAAATTATATTGAAATATTAGAAATATATTAGAGCATCTTAAAAATAATATCTGTTTCATAATACTGTTTTTTTAATAACATATTTTGGTAGTTAATGGGCAGAACACAAACGTGCCATATTTCTGTAACACTTCTGATTAAACCTTGTCAATAATTTGGAGTTTAAGCACTTAAAAAAATCTTTTCTATATTTATTATTCTATATTTATGATAGTTTTATGCATCATATATTCATTTCAAAACTTACGGAATATGCACTTTGGTAATGGGGCAGGAAGATATTGTCCTTGCTGATAGGTACACTTGTACTCTATGTCAATACGCCCTTGGATCTTCAATCCCGGTACCTGAGGGCAGCTAAATGTGCAACGAGCCTCCTCCATTTCATAGGCACACTTGTAGTTGCCATTAAAATTGGTATTTGTCACATTGCAACTCTGGATATCTGTAAAATATCATACGATTATAGTGTTTAATCGATTTAATAAAAATGGCAATCAAAGTTTTTAATGTTATTTTGACCCACATATTTAATGTGAAAAAACCCTTTAATCATTATACTCACTGTATTGACAATGGGCACCACGGAACATCTTCGAGCATTGACAGACATTGAAGCTAATGCATTGTCCTCCGTTTTGGCAGGCCGGGGCACAAGTGGCTAAACAAAAAAACTTATAATCAGAAATATTTTTAACTTTTAAGTGGCATTACTAACGGGCACAATCGGGGGGCTTGGAAAGCCCCGTTTTGGTGTGCACCCACTGGCCGTTGCGGCACTCAATGTTTGTGATGGCACTGCCATCAGGAAATTGGAATCCCCTCATGCACTCGGCATGGCAAATGCTACAATGAAAGTAGGGTGTTAGGTGCTATAGCATCTTTAATAACTTAAAAAAAAAACTCACTTATTCTTGCAGGATACTTTGGAGTTCTTTGGCGCCTTTGGAAAGGAAGCACATACGGACTTCTTCTGCTGGCACACAGGTCCGTAGTAATTCTCCGGGCACTGGCACACTCCGGCCGAGATGCAGATGCCGTTGTTCTGGCACCGAGGCTGGCATTGAGCCTGGCATGGTGGCACCTCCGTGAACGCAGAGTTGGCCACGATCCATCCGTCATTGCTGCAGAACATCTCCAGGTACTGTACGTCCTGGGCGAAGCTATAGCCTGCGGGGCAGAAAACCTTACAGCGTCCATTGTGGCACTCGGATTGGACATTTGAGGGCAGCTGCAAGGCGGAACACTTTCCAAAGGCTGCCAGGATCTGGCCTCCGCTTCCGTAAAAATTTCCCTGACTTCTGTAAAAGATGTCACTGTAATGATTAGATACACATTCGTTGGGCACCTCAACTCACCCCTTTCCAATGCCAAATACTCCCAAGGTTTTGGTTAGCAATCCTCCTCTATGATTTAAAGTTATGTTAAAGGAAGTTCACCCTAAGTAGCCCTAAGTTACAGCTTACCCAAAACCAGCTCCACCAGAATATGACGTCTTAATGCCGCCACCATATCCTCCACCGCCTCCTCCTGAGCCTCCATATGTGTATCTCGCACTGCAAAATAACATACATTATCCAGTTATATAATCCCCGCTGAACTTGGCGAATTATAGCGCTTTCTTCCGACTTTATCATTACCTAACCGGCGGGGCGCCCTGGAGGAAGTTCAAGTTAATATGGCGTTCGCTGCGAGTACTCTCGTTATCGACGGTTTCCGGTTCCACTTGGAGCAGCGGGCTAAATTCGCAAATAAATTATGCAATCATTAAGATAAAAAGCTTTTTATATAGCAAATGCAAATATTATTTTTTTGTGTTTTTGACAAGATTATATCCGAGTTTCTAAAAAAAAGTCCCTAAATTTTTAAATTATAACTGAGCCAAACACAAGTTTTGTTTTTTTCACAATTATATCTGAGTTTCTTAAAAAAAAGTCCATAAAACTTAGTGTTGAAACTTAGCCAAGCTTATTATTAAATGAGAAAGTAAGATAAGGATATTATTTGGTTGTTTTTAATCGTTTAATATTTTTTTTGGGTTAGGCAACATAGAAATCTAATAAAAGTTCCTCCAGCACAGTCTACCCAACAACTTAACTAGAGGTTAACCTCTTAAAGTATAGATCTTTATTCCAACCTGTAGTGAGGCAAGGATATCCTTACGGAAAAGGCTTAAACATTTTAGCTAAGACAACACTTCATATTAGTGAAAAATATTAAAACTACTTCGTTTTAAAAAATCCGGATACACATTCAACGTAAGTGTTTTAATGAAAATTTGTAGGAATTCTTTATCACTTCGGGTTTCATATTTCGTACAATATTTTGTAACAAGGTTATAGTTTCTAATTATATCGAATTTTAAATGTGTTTATAAATTAAGTTTATAAACAAACACTTCAAACGAAATGATAATTAAATTGTACCACTATTATCTTTTCCATTTTTTATTTTTTTGACTCGCTTTATTTAAATTTTATAATAAAATGTTTTGACACTTTTAAATCAAAAACACTTTTTCACATATAACATACATATGATGTGCTTTAAACATTGCCTTCCGGTTATAAAATTGATTTGTATAGTGAAGCACTAATTTATAAACGAGAATTTTTTTTTGTCAACTATTAGCACTATCCTTTCACTCACTTTATATCCTCGTCATCCTCATCTTTCATTATAATGTCTCCATCCTCGGCCCACACATATGAAATCAGTAGCAGCCACAAGGATAAAGAAATCACTTTGTTCGCCATTGTATTTGGCAAATGCGCACTTTTATGTTAAGTTTTTCGCACAGGAGTATCCTGTTGGTAGTTAACACTGGTAATCCATTTCTGCCAGGACACTGCTGAGCCTTTGGTCCTTTTTATATCCTTTGCTTAGACTATTATAACTTCTAAGCACTTAATCACTTTCACTTTTTAGATATCCACTGAACTTGACGAGTTTGAAGCACGATCGCGACTAATGGTGCCAGTGGTTGGGGTGCGCCTTTTATAGCCCCGAAGGCGGCGATCTAATACACATTCTCGGACTTTTATCAAAACAACTCGGTATGTTTAGGTTCAAGCCCACCAACATTTATCAGAATCCGCAAAAATAGGCACCATCTTCAGCTTATCGCCTCTGCTGTGCTTAAATTAGCATCGCGAATGTACCGAAACTGTGCCAAGTTTAAGCCGATGCCAATGCCTGCCTGATAATGCCATTTCCGGCAACTATGTCATAACTTTAGAACGGACCACAATCAGGGGGGTAAACATTGTTTACCCGGGGTAGCCCCAATCATTTGATACGTCGCCATTCCCTTAATCTAGTTGTGAATGAAATATGAACTACGTCTGGTACTAGCATTGAACTTGAATGCTCAAACTTAATAGATAGAACTCTAGCCTTAGATTGAATTTAAATTTTAAACGGTCGAAAAGCAGTTTACAAAGTAGAACAACCAGTGTATATAATACACGCTAGATGGCGTAATTTGGCCGGCAGGCGGCGCTAGTTTGGCTATTCCGACGATATTTCGATTAAACAAGTAAGACATTACAATTATGTTTTGTTTAATTTTATGTTTATTTTAGTCCACGTTTTATATAGGTACAAAAATTAAACGCTAAGTAAAAGTAAATATATATAAACAAGATATTTTGAGCCATAAACACGAAAGCAAAGTAAGCGAAATTGTTTTGGAACCATTTGTTGTTTTGAAATATTTTTAAAGCCTTCTTAAAACCTTGCAATATTACAGTGAGAATATATTTTATTAAAAATATATTAAGATTTATATATTGAAATTTGGAAAAAAAATCTTTTTATAGTTTAGTAATTTAGGCGCTTACTTCGTTTCCGTTGTAATGGCTCCCTATGGGTTTAGACCAAATAATTTCTCATTTGCATTGGACGGTCGACAGGAACTGGCTTTCCAGTCACGATATGATGATGTTTGTACAAATCTCTTGGCTTAATGTACAATTCCTTAAAATCCTCACTGCTCACATGCCGGCTAGCCGGTCCAAGATATATTCCATTGAAACTGTGGCTAGAGTTCTCCCTAAGTTCCACCTCGGGTTCGTAGATGTTTTCGATCAGAGTTTGTCGCTTCTTCACCTTTTGAGCTCTCACTTCTAGAATTGGTTTCTTGAGCCTAGCCCGTTGTGTAGCCAGCCCGGTGCAGCTCATGATAATTGCCAACAGAACGGAGAACTCAACCAAGGCTAGAACCAGACTGCCGCCAAGAAAGATGCCATACTGCTCCCGATACCAGTTGTCCAGATGCGGAAGACATGATTCCGTGTGGCGTTCCCTTTTGTAGGAATCTCGTTCGATCGACTGGCAAAGTGATTCATTGGCCGGCTTTGGATCCAGATAGGCCATCGATTGTCCCGCATTTGCCAGCACACAGCAACTGAGTGGCACCGGCCAAATCCTCTGTCCATAGCTCTGCAAACGCCACAACGATGTGTCGTAGTCCAACGAACTCCTCATCCCACAGCAGCCAAAACGTGCCTGCGCCAAATCCATGGTATTGGTGAACTGCTCCTGGCCCGGAACTCCATAGTTGCTCTGCAGGGATCGCACCATTTGATTCTCGTCCAGACTGATGCCCAGACAATGTGGCCAGAGGGTTATGGCCAGGCAAAGCACAGACTCGGTCAGCAGGAGCACCACTACGCTCAGGAAATATACGCTCAAGAAACAGTAGGTGTGAAGGCAGCTGGCCCAGAAACCCACGACAGCGGCCAGGATGGCCAAAAATCCAGCGATTGCCACGCCCAGCGATATATAGAAAAGCAAAGGCTGCGGAAGCGAACTCAACCGATCACTAGAGGCAGCCAAAAGTCTGGAGAGCAAAATGCGTTTGTTGTCAGAGAACAGGTACAATCCGGATACGATCATCAATAAACCGCATATCTGTAAATAAAATATAATTAATAATATCTTAAAATGTAAAACAATTGATATTACTGTAAAAAGGGAATTTTATAGTTATATAACGTGCATTGCCATTCTTGCAAAAAAGAAATCAACAAAACTTTCACTTTAGTTAGTTACTTACCAAAAACAAAAAGTTACATAAATTGAGCAATAGTTTGTAATTAAAACAGCGTCCCATGTTTACTTCGATGCGGGTGTGGTCGTTTGTAGTAAATTAGAACCTAGTTTATTATGACGAAATGCAATAATTGTGGCATGGACAGCGATCAGTAAAGGCAGTGCTGTATGTCTCGCTGTGCTGCATGCTCAATTTCTATATGTATACACTACTTAAAAAAGAAAACACCAATTTAAGCTCGGCTTTATTCGATGCGACGCCCTAGACAGTAAAATTTAAACTAATCTATGGGGAGAGGCAACATTCTGTGGCAAGTTCAAAGCAGCGAAAGTAAGAGACCACAGAGAATGCGATTGTAACTCTCTACAAACCCACGATGGGTTACTCTCATTAAAACTTTTCAAGCGTCTCGCTTAGCTTAGCAAAACAAAACCGAAAACGATGTTCCTCCACCGAAAACATTTTAAAACAGAAACCGAAGAGAGAAACCTGTGCATGGGGCGCAATGCTCTTTGCTCTTATTTGATCACCACTGTGGCACCATGTCCAGCCATATGGAACCGTTTTCAAACAATAGCCGACAAGCAACAAAACAACTCCAACAGTTGAACTTTATTTATAACTAGACCCCAGTTTTTATGCAAAATTATCTTTGTAAAGGCTGGATTAAAACGAGTTCAGCGCTCATGGTTATGTTTGTTTTTTCCTGGTGACAGATTCTTTGTAGTTTATTAGAAGTCCAAGCAAGCTGTCCAAAAAACTTCACCCAATCGGTCTTGGCCTCGGCATTTTAATATTTGGAAAAATATTTTACAAATTAATTTTTATCATAAATTATACATCAAACCCAAATTATGCTTAAGATTCCAAACCTACGCAAAATGCCTGTGACCGAGCAACCACCTCGGATTGTTAAGATAGAGCGACCAACGCGAGGAAAGAGGCTCAGTCCCTTGAAAATGTCGATAATTCAGCCGCAGTCCTTATTGCCCAAGAACACCCCAAAAATTGGAGCTGATGACCTAAAAAATCGTTTGCTTATTCTTCAGAAGCGTGTCATGGAGTGGAAATCTTCAAGCGTACCCTGAGATAAAATGTTGAGCTAGGGACGGTACAGATTACTCATTTGATAAATAAATGAATTTATTAAATGAAATGCTTTTCTTTATAGTTTTTTTTTTTCTGATTTTTATAGTAAAAAAAATACTTATGTTTTGAGGACATTTTGGCCGCGTGCGGATTACTAGTAATTTAAAATGACTTATTTTGGACCAATGGAAAATGAATCTGCAGAAATGTGACCCCTTTCTAAATTTTAAAAAAGCAGAACAGTTTCCCAAAATATGTACTTCTTAAGCCGTAACTTTACTCTACAGCTTAAATCTCTCAATGCTTGTGGTCTTAGTTAGCAATTGAAACTAGGGACAACGTTTTTGTAACCAAACGAATATCTTTAATAGTGCTTTTGCTTATGATATTAGAGCTAGCTCTGCTCATGTAAAATTTTATACCGAAAAAGAACTCTGACCAGCATAATGAAAAACCATTTGAACTTTATGTATTAGGTTTTTGTTTTTTTAAGTACAAGTTCCATGTTGATTGTGTATTTGAGTGCTATATTAGCTCCATTTCCCAAAAGTCGTTTTAACAGGGGCTGAAATGACCTACTTTACGGGTCGACTTTTAAGCAATCAATAGTGCGTTGATTGCTATGGCTTCTCAGTTGCGCGGTGGTTTTTGGTCGTCCACGATTGAAAGCCATCCAGTGAACTTTCAGACGTCAGTGGCGAGCTAACATGGAGCGATGGCGCAACAAAGTGGCCGTGGTGAGCGGAGCCAGTGCCGGAATCGGAGCAGCCTGCACCCGGGCATTAATCGGTGCCGGAATGGTGGTCGTTGGTCTGGCGAGGCGTCACGAACGCGTCGAGTTGATCCGAAATGATCTCAATCCCGAAGAGAAGACCCGTCTACATGCAATCAAGTGCGACATTACGCAGGAGGATCAAGTACTGAAGGCCTTTGAGTGGACTCAGAAGCAGTTGGGCGGCGTGGATGTCCTGGTCAGCAATGCCGGTATCATAGCAACCGGAGAACTTAGCGAGAGGAACGACGGAGAAGCCATGCGGTCCACCATTGAGACAAACATCATGGGCACCGTCTACTGTGTCCGCGAATCCTTCCACTCGATGAGGAAACGCGATGCCGAGGGTCATGTGGTCATCGTGAACAGTGTAGCAGGTCAGCAGGTGCCCAACTTGGGCCCCCAACTGCCCTCGCTCAACATTTATCCGGCCACCAAGTTCGCACTTCGCGCCATGAACGAGATTTACCGCCAGGAGTTCCAGCGCCACAAAACTCCAGTGAGAGTTTCGGTTAGTGTGTCACATGACCCTTGAGGCGCACTTCCTAATTTAAATTGCTTTCGCAGACCGTCAGTCCCGGCATAGTGGATACGGACATCTTGCCGGACCAGATTCAGGATATCATCAAACAGCATATGCCCATGCTGCGAAGTGCTGACGTCGCCGATGCAGTTCTCTGGGCCATCGGCACTCCACCAAATGTGCAGGTAAGCTCCATACGCGACACTTCCTACAGCTCATTGTACATATTAACAAGTTTAATCGCTAAACAGTATGGCATTTAAATTTGCTAAATATTTGTGGTACCCACTTTTCTACTGATTTCTTTAATACTTTAAAATGAAAGAATATTTAGATGGTCCCTCAAAAATGTATCTTGGAGTTCCATTGTTATTAGATTTTAAAATTATAAAATTAAGTGATAACTACAATTAATATGTATTAAATTTCAGTGTTTTCAAGCCATTTTCAAAACTAAGTTTTAAGAAAAACCAAAACATTTCGTTGAATACTCATAATTATTTACCAATTTCACTATAAACATTTTGAGGGCTTACATATTTTGTAAGAGCTTTTTACTTACTTGGTTATTAATTAAAACTACGTCTGTGGTACAGTTGACATACCCTCCAATAAAATTTCTAACGTTTCTTATCATTTACAGGTGCATAACATAACAATAAAGCCACAAGGAGAAAAGTTTTAAACTTTGTACTAGCAAGCTGAAAACTGCAATTGGAAAATACATAAATAGAAATATATATTTATATTATGGAAAATAATAATACAATCTTTATATTAATGAGTAATTTGCGTGCTTATTAATGTCAGTTCTTAAAACATTATAACAATTATTAACGCCGGTGAAGCTTACACTTCCCCCACTTGTACGATTCCTCGGTAAAGCGATATAAAACTTCTTTAAAGAGAAATTGAGAGAGAGTTATAACTTAGAGGGCAGCTATGTACAAATAAAAAGTGGTAGTAAAGAGAGGCGACCACTTGTTTAACGACTCGGCTTAAACAGAAATTTTTAATTTTAATGTTATTTATATTACTTTTGCATCATATGAGTCCCATTTCGTATAATTTGCATTTAATCAGTTTTAAGTTGCCTTTGGAAAGAGCCTGCGAAATTGCTGCGCAACCCTAGTGCCGGCGAATTCATTTCCCCATCCTTAGATCTTATCCCTCTGCAAACACCCTTTTTCAAAGGACCCTCCACTTCGTGTTCAGAGTGGATTTAAGAGAGCTTCGCTTCGTGTCTCCAAGTTGTGTTTCACTTTGCCATTTTGTTTCAAAGCCGCATTACAATGTTCGCGCCTGAATCCTGTCGTTTCAGTTGTGTGGAGCCAGTCTCTCTGTAAACATCGTCCTTTGTTCGTTGTGGCCCCTTTTGTTGTTTTCTCAGGTCCTGCTTCCTTCGCCATCTGTTGTCGCGTGCATCTGTTGATTGTGTTCTTTCCAGAGTCAACGAATAAAATAAATAAACTTGTTCCCTCTTCGAGTTCGATAATTACTTTTTTATAATGTCTTCTGAAAAGGATTTAATTTAATTTAATTTTTCTCATTTTATATTAGTAAATGTTTTTAATATAGATTTTACCAAAAATAAGGATAAGGATGGTATATGACATATAAATCGATGAACCAACACCGATGAATTATATTATAATCCTATTAATTATTTAACTTTTCTTTAAATGTCTTCGAAAAACTATCTTTGTCTTACATTTTTCCTTTCCTGGTCTGAATCTGTATCCTCATCGGTGAATCACCATTAAAAAACTCAATTTAAATGCACATATTACATTTCGCCCGGGCAGACTACGCGCTTAACAATGACGGACTCCACTGGAGACCGCGTCACCTCATTTGATTTGGTATGAAAAATCTCCTTTTATTAATATTCATGAAAGCTGAAAACTTTTTCGGTTATTTATTTAATGGGAACTGAAATCCACTGAGTCCAGTGAGGATGCTCATGATTCTGTGGTTAAAGAAGAGGGTTAAGCTGTGTGCATAAATTTAACTTAACACGTTTGTATTTATCTGTTTTTTGTTGTTTTTAATAAAAAACGAAGTGTAAACTAATTGAAAAACAAGTGTGAAAGCCAATAAATCATGTATTTTAAAAAGCTCCATTTATCTAAAACTAAGCACAAATAAACGTTTAGCGTCTAATTTGGAACTGATAGCTTAAATTTCGAATATATTTGCCAATTTTCATTATAATTTAGGTAAGTCCTGGCATCGATAAGCAATTAATGTGTGGAAGCAGCCAGCCGCTATGCAAATGGTCATATGTTAAACGCCAGCCACCGAAATGACATCGATGCGATGGTATAAATCACGGATTGTGCGCTTTGGTCGTCGATGGCAGTACAAGTACTATTAAAAGCCATTCCGATGAACCTTAGTACTCGTAAATCATAAAGGAGCGCCTTCTCGGTAGCTACCTCGTCCTTTCGCCTTCTTTATTGTTTTGAAATTTATGTCCTGGAGAGATTCTCTGCAATCGGTATTGTCTTGGTTTGGTCCACTTCGGTCTAGAGTTGCTTCTGATTGGAAACATTCTAAATAAATTTAAAGCCGAACTAAAGACAACTTTTCCTTGGACTAACTACTATTACTATTACTACTATTATTAAATATAGATCCACTCAGTTTGTTTAATCAGTTTGAAGCATCAATCCATTGAGATTTTTGAAATCTGAAGCATAAGTCGAGTGAAAACATCGTACAATATGCATGGTGTAAGCATATAATAAACTCGCCAGATAAACGGAGCTGACGTCATTGACTTCACAACACAGGCAAACGAATTGGTGGAGATGGTGAATGCAGGACACTTGCCTTGATGACAGGCCAGGCTTTACAACAACTGCGTACGGCTCAATTCATTCAATCAAGTTAAATAGAAGCGGTATGAGTTTCTGGAAACATCAGCTGCAGGCTGCTTGTTCTATAGCAAAAGCAGCTTGTTCTATAGCAAATATGAACAGCATGGGCGGATCAAGAATGATTTTTCAAGGGGTCTTGAGAAATTGTTACCAATTATTTAATAATAATAATAAGTAAGTGGTCAGTATGTTTGTGGTCTTTTACACATTTTGTGCTTCAGTATTTATTGAGAACTCATTTCGTATCTTTTGTTATATTTTAACTAATATTTTTCCACTACCTTTTTCTTTATATATTTACAAAAATATTAATGTACCGACCATTTAGATTTAAACCATAGAATTAAATTGAACCCACTACTGATGCACAATTATTTACCCCTTTGTGTGTTTGTTTTATTTGAATGAAGAGGATAACAATGATTGACATCGTTGACTTAAGCTATAATATTTACACTGTATCCATTTGCCAGGACGAATGGATACTGTTGTAAAAGCGCTTAAACATTTGGAAGGCTCACAAGGACGAAGCCTAATTGAATTTCCACTGCCATATTCTGGAAATAATTTATATTAAAATAAAATAATACGAAAACAAGGAAGTTTATGACGCAATAGATTCCAATGAATAATGGTTGATTCGGCAGCACATAATTTGTGTGGCGAGCACAAACTTCCATGACTCTACTCATAGCCGCTCACAACGTCCGTACCACGGCTCATATGCTTTTCATTTTCATTGGTTATTTGTCGCTTGAGTTGCTCGTCGGCCATAAAGATTATAATCTTGGTGTGCTGGTCGGACACCAACAATAACAATAAAAAAGGAATTTGTTCTACCATAACCCAGCAAAAGCTGTGACGGAAAATGTTTGTACCAAATTGGGATACAAAAAATCCAAAAAATAGTAGGGGAAAAGGAAAAAGAGCTTGAAAAGGATAAAGAAACATGGTAACGTTTATCCCGCAAAATATGAGCCTAAATAGTATAGTGCCTTCTAGAGCTAAAGTCGAGGTATTATTAAAGCTATATAGTATTTACACTTAAGTAATGTAATGTTTTGATATTTCTCCATTTTTCCCATCATTTATTATAAATAAATATAAACACATTGTGTTGCAATTTAAGAACATATGTATATTTTTTTATTTTATAAATTTTTGTAACATTAATCTATTTATATATAATTTTGTGATAATATAATTTTCACGACTGGCAGTTTTTTTTTGGAAGACAGTTTTAGGATTCCAGAAGGGGAAATCTATTTATAAACTGGATGACATCTTCCGACTGGCGACTTATACGTTCGGCTCGCAGCTTTCGATCGTTGGTAATATCTCTTAGAAAAGTTGACCAGTTCGATGCGAGGTTCGGCAATCGCTCAATAGAGATCTCAATGGGCGTCATCGTTCCTTTCTTGCAATTCTTTATTTGTCCAGCCGATGAATTTTCTGGGGCCGATACTGATACAGCATTCGTCATCTTGAGTACTTTTAAGTAGACTATTTAGAACGGACTCTTAAAGCAGACTGATCTCAAACAGTCCATGATTTGGTTTATATAGATCGAAGCAGGTAGATTTACATAACTCTTCTGTTCTGGGTTCAGGTAAAATCCGCGGTAAAACCCACAGATCCAACCAAAATTCAGGTAAAGTAACGCCAGCTGCTATTTAAAGCCTGCTAAATAATCTGCTACCAGATGCAAGGGCCTAATAGAGTCATAAAAGCCATAAACGAAACATTCGCACAACTTAGGTCCCGAAAAATATTGCAAAACAAGGATTACGTGCTAACCGAATAGCTTGTAAAATAGTAGGGTGGCAAGGGTAATTTATTATAATCACGATTTCAATATGATCATCCAATAGTACTTTTATAGTCTTAAATACATATAATTTTATTTTATTTATGGATATAGAAATGCTTAACTAAATGAAGAGTAGAAAAGTGATATCGCACTTTTAAGTTTTGTTTATCAATTGTTCTATCACAAAAGGCACAGTCCGTTTGAAATGCTGTCAAATCTTTTTAATTTATGTAGTGTTGTACAAATTTTAGACTACAGTACTGGTCATTTTTACAAATTTGTTTTGTATCCTTGCCAATTTTATTGAATTCAAATTAAACACGTAACCAAATTATAAAACCTTGTTTTAAATTCAAAGCAGCAAAGATGCCCTTTCATGTCCTGGAACCTAGTATGTTAAGGATGGGGCGCTCAGTTCCAGCCAGTAGAATTACGACGGAGGACCTTAAACATCGCTTACTTGCTCTTCAGACACGAGTCACTGAATGGAAACGAGTCCAAAAGAAGGAAACTGATCTGAATTTAAGTTTATGGAAATTTCAACTGACCGAACTTTAGTTTGGGACTTTATGAAACAATTATATCTGCATACAAAATGCTATAAAATTCTGTCAATATAGCTAGTCACAAGTTGAATATTGTTGGCTTGGCTTGTTCGCTTTTTTTTTGTAAAATCCGAAGTCAATCATTCTTAGGAAAATGGGCTGATAAAGTAATTTTAACACGCACCGCGTAATCTTCTTTTAGGTATGCAACAAATTTTGTTACAGGCACTTTTTGTTGTCAGAATATTCATCCGAATTCCATTCCAGCGTTCTGTCGCCTGCGAAATTGAGCAATTTAATTATACTCGTATGGAAAAATAATGATGCTGCCTCTGCACATTCTCCGGAAAGGTAAACATTGACATCCAACGAAGGCTTCAAACTGCCGGGCGACAATTGCAATTAATTGCATATTTTAAGCCATTCCAGATTGGAACCGCAGACACCGTGAGCAACAACATTGCGATATAAAAAGAAAAAAAAACATAATATATGTTTAATGTCCATAATAAAATGTAAAAACAAAAGGATTGGCCTGCCCGTTATCAAAGGAAAGAAATTAATTGGTATTTATGCCAAAAATTAACAATTATGACAATAAAATTCATTCTGTTTACTATAGGAATATCCGAATTGTAATGTTCAATTTATCGTGGCCATAAATATTTGAAAACAAAGGGTTAAAATAATGTTATGTATTTGATAATTATAAAAAAATAATGGATAATTTTTTGTGTAATTTTTCCTTCATATTTTTAAGAAGTAAATATCTACATCTAGAATTATAAACACAACAAAACCTCTTTTTTTATTACTTTTTATTTATTTAAAATAAGCTACGCTAGAATACCAAATGATTATGGAAATTCAAGTCTTGTTAGTTTCTGTGGCACCCCAGATAAAAAGGAACTCTCGCATTTGATGGCATTTCTGGTGCCTGTAGGCTGTGCAATTGCCTATCTCCTTTTCCCACAATATTTTCGAGAGTCCTCGACGTGAATATTCGCGACTCCTAGAAGTTTTCGAGACACCATGTGGGAAGGCCGAAAAACAAGAAATAAATGGCAGATCGTATAGGCAGAGAGGAAAGGAATCATGGGCAACTTGGCGTGTGTGTGCCACTTGACAGTCGTTTAAATGCATTAAAATATTACCTTCTTCAGCATGAGCAAAACAAAACACAGGCAAGGGCAAACATGACATCCGCCAAATTTTCACATGCGATAGACTGCCACCGAAAGGGATGGGGAATGGGGAATGGATGGTCTACAGGGAGGAGGGAGGGAGGAGACGCCCACCAGCAGGCCGGGAAAAATCAAATCATCAGCCAAGGCCGCGCCAGCCAATGACTACAACAATGGGCGAAAGGATAGCTTTGGCGTGGCTGTTTGCTACCCGGACAGGAAAAGGGTTTGCCCCAGGATTTAAGTGGGAGGGGATGGAACGACTGAGTCGACTAGTTAACACAAATTGAAATTTTTGAATCAGCAGACCGAAAAATAGGAATACAAGACTAAAGCTAAAACGCCCATTTTCAAGTTTTGTTCGCCATTGATTTTTCCTTTTTCCTTGCTTAATTTGCATTCCATTTACTTTCCAAACTTTAATATGAGCGGCAGGTAATCAAAAGGAAATATAATGCTTTAAACTTTTAAATTAATAAATGTTGATATAATTGTTACTAATAATTCAGTGCCGCATTGTGAATTAAATAAGGCTTAAGTACTCCAAGTGACCCAAAACCCACAAAAAAAGAAGGAAGCAACCAAAACTGAGAGGAAGAACAAAAATAGAGGAGACAATACGAAAAATAGAGGAACCGGGAGTGGCCGGCGAAAAACAAAATATTCATGAACACAGCAGTCTTATAAATAAATTCCAGCCCCAGCACAGAACCCATCATTGGCACTTCCACCCTTAACCTCAGTCGCACCCACATCGTTGTCGTCTGCCGATGCAGCTGCTATATACACAACACTACTTGGTGTTTGCCACCCACAAAACTCGGGAAGAAAATGGCTTTGGAGCGGCTCGAAAAACTTAAAAATATGCTAACAGAGAGTGGGGGAAAAAGGAGCATCAAGCTTTTATGATGGTTCGATTTCGTGGAATTAGCAATGAGCAGGAATTGCAACAGGATGGAAGCAGCAAAAGGTCGACCATTTGCCACTGAAAAGCAGTAGTAGTCGCTTATGCAAGAAGCGAATTTTTAATAATACCAGAGAGAACTTGGAATGGTGGCAAGTGGCTGCAGAGTGGCGAATACATAATGCAGCGACCATCAGGGTACAACCCGTAAATACACTCAACGGAATACGCTTAACATCGCACCTCTACCAAATAGACCATGCACTATTAGTGGCAAATCTAAGAAATACAACTTACTTAAAATATGACTGTCATTAAAGTTATGACAAAACAATAATTTTTAAAAGTAATTTAATAGTTCCTTGTTAAATTTAATCAAATAAAGCCCCAGACAATTAAACTCTTACTTGTTACTTAAATTTCGGCTTGTTTAATAGGAATACAGAATAAAGATATTTAACAAAAACCCTTTGGGGCAAATGCTCTGTTAATTTAATTTAAAAACCATTCTAAAATTTAAATTCAATCTATGTAAATCAAAGTCAAAGTGTTAAATCCGTTTTAATTAATTTAAGCCATTGACATTGACAGGAAATCCCGATTATGTGCAATTTGCCGAGCTTTCCAATCCAGGAAAAGATCGTGAAGTGAAGTGAAGAGACGGGAATCATCAGCCAGAGGCGGTTGGCGACAAAAAGCCATAAAATAAATTATTTCAAGAATCAATTACAACTAATAGCACAGACCAGCTGGAAACCAATTTAATTCACTTGAGCTGCATACGTAGCGCTTTTGCCAAAGGAGGGAGATGAGGTTTTTGGGTTGCAAGTCGGGGACAAAACGGAGGACCCAGTGGAGAGGACCCAATGCCTTCCGTTGATTTGCAATGTCTCCAAGTGGGTGGGTGTGTGCTCAAGAGTTCGAATTTTCCAGTCAAGGGTGTGGGTGTGGATGTGTGTGTATGTAAATCTCATATACGATGATTTAAGCCAATGCATAATTGATTGTAATGCTTGGCAAGCCGATTTCGGTTTGCATAAGGACAAGGCGAAGCCCAGCATCCAGTCTTCGGAAATTAGCCTGCTTCCATGTGGCCCGGGGATGGGTAGAAAGGATTTGAGAGAGCTGGCCTCTGCAAATTGGTCAAGTACTAATCAATGGCTAAATGCAATTGGAACCAGGAAACAAAAATTAGAAATTGTAAGGCTAATCATCTAATAAGATTGCCTATCATTGAAATATATATACAATTTTTCTGTTTTCATTATACTCATATATATTCTCTATTAGCAAACGATTCTATAAAATTAATATCTCGGCAATCGTAGAACCTTTATAGATGAGTATAAAATATAAATTAAAATATTGTCCACCTCTTAAAATTCATAATGCACAAAATAACTATTTATATCTTTAATACTCTTATTATATTATTATGCCGGAAAAGCATGTAGAAACCAGTGGCGTACTGCTTTTTGATATTAAAGTTCTACGAGAACCTGTATTTGGAAGGATAACAAAAAGATGGCTTAAAATTCTTAATGGCTAGTACGTGAGATGGAAAATGCAGAGATTAAATAAGTTTTGGCAGTTAGAACAATGAGATACCCTAGATATTATATTATAAAACGTTTAAACTAGATCTTTTGAAACAAAAACCATATGTTTTGAAACGGGATGAGTCAAAATACGCAGAATGGAAGTTTTTAAATCGATTCAAAAATTCTTTATTCGTTGGAATAACATTTCAGGTTTCAGTAAATCAATTTTTCAACTTATTTTCAAAGTTGATAAGATTTTTGGAGTTCGTAACTTCGGCAACTAATGGTAATTAAGATTTAATTTTAGGGTAAGTATGAGTGTCTTTTTACTTTTATTTTTCATGGAGTACGTTTGGCCATCCGTTAATGGCTTGTTGGAGTTGCTGACTTCCGACCTTAAGCTGCTGGACGACACGATTGCATTGGTATGTGCACGGAATTCTCAATTAATTTTAATTTCATGTCAACACCTTTGGCCGACAAGTGCAGGATGCAGTTGTAGGCAGAAATCTGCAGTTTCGGAAGTGTAATTATCCTTATATTCCAATCTGGGGTGGCTCCTGCCTTTCTCCTATCTCTCTCAATTAACCGAAAGAATGTGAAGCAGCACTCAGAGGTGCAGGAGCCCAAGGGAGCGTGGGTAGACATGTACGTTTGAGGACATTAACCTGGCAGCAAAGGTCCACGCACGTGTGCGGAATCTGCAAGTGCCAAAGTCCTAGAAAAGGACAACGGCAGGCGAAGGACACACAGGTCGGCCGACGATGACAGCCTGCTATTTGGTATGAACATTAAGCCCCCAACTGGACAACAGAATTTCTCTCAACTGACCGCAAGTAAATAAGCGGCTTTTCATAAATGTGCAAAATTGACAGACGGCAGCGAAAACGTCATTTATGGAAATTAATCTTGGCATTAATTAATGTGTAAATGCAAAATTTGCTTTATCGTTATTGTGGGAGTAAACACGTATTGAATAAAATCTTCTTCCAGAAATTACCATCAACTCAGAAAAAATATAAGCCAAGTGATGAATTACAATACATTTTTTTTATACAAAATTTATAGATAAAAATACCATACAAATGGAAATAAGTTTTGTTCAAGTTGCCCTACTTCCATAAACTTATACTTATTTGGGGCTAAGTTTAAATGAGTTTGCCATTAAGACTTATTACCTTTACATCGCCAACGTTCTGTGTAATTTGAAGGAAATTTATAGCAATGTCCGCAACGATTGCCGGAGAAAATCGTGGTTGCATTTTCTGGGTAGCCCAGCCATTCATATTGCTGTGGCACTTCTCCTTATGATAAGTTGACTCCCCATGAAAAGTTGGCGGGCTTCTGAGTCCGACTCTGCTCTTAGCCCGCCTCGCATTTGCATTTCAATAATTAAGTGTTATTGTGGGTAGTTTGGCTTCTGTTTGTTTTTATTTTCCCCATACTCACATGGACTGAAGGTGCATGCGTGCCGTTCGGCTGCAGACAGAGGCACATTAAAAATATAACAACAATGAAGTTGTGTGGCTGATATTAATTCATTTACTGTGCTTGGCAAATGGCGAGCAGTTGTTGCAATAACTTGGACAATAAAAACGGGGTAGGAAAATACCCCCCCAAGCATTCCGCCTATATGCCATGCAACTTTTTACATTCTTGCCATTTTATTTATTGTATGATTCAACAATTTACCTAGGTTAGGCGACGTGAATATTAAATTATCCTTTTGTGTGGCAGCTAAGAAAGAGGGAAGGATTGCAGTTGAACAAAGGGACACGTAGTATTTTAGCCTGGACGACTACCCAAGTGTAAGCAGTTATGGACGACATTTTTTGCGGCCCTTTGCCAGGATCTGCATAATTAATTTGTCTTCGTTTAACTTAGAAAATTCTTACCCGTTCTTTTCTTAAGTACCTTAAATTTTTATTGACTAGTAAATGTCCTTTTCCCTTAAGAGTATACATAAGTTATTTCTCCCAGATTCATGAAATATTCCACATTTTTTCTATTTAAAGATACATTTTTAGTTTGTATGTATAGATTATAAAATAGATTAAGTTAGGTGAACACTAATAAATCCCTTATTTTCAAAATCTCAAACTGTGAAGGTAAAACAAGATGAAAACTTAGGAAAATATCATTGTCCTTGTCATTTAAATGTAAAAATTGT